TATAAAACAACAATCCAATCCATCAATCAACCATTCCACTTCCAACTGCAAAACCCCAGCTGAACATAATCATCACTCCTTTCCGGACTCCCTGCAACTCACATTCCGGCCTCGAGTAAACCCCCGAGACTCAAATCTAGAAACTCATGTGCTATCCTCCCCCGCTCAACCCGCGGAATATAATGATTATAGATCATCTCCCTGATCTTAGATAACTGCAACCCTCTGCTCATCAGAATATGTACCCGAACAAGTCCCGATACTGGAAAGCTCGACCAGCTCCTACCCTACCATTGTTACAGTTGATGTAGCTGTTGGGGTAGCCGCCTCACCAAGGGTTGCATAACGCTCATATAAATACTCAACCAGGGAGGTCTTAATAGACCCGAACATCTTCGAAAACTATCCCCGGACAATCTTGATCACCTCCTCCTGGGTGATCTCACTAACACGATACTCTAAATATGCTGGCCCATCCTGGCCGCCAGCTCCCGATCCTAACCTGGATCCAGTCTCAAGACGTCTCGTAACCACCATTCTGGTAAGGCACCAGAAATATCTCTGATAATCCATATAATGGCAGGGGACCAACTCCCAACCCAAAACCCTAGGGGTTGTAACTTCCTTGCTACGCGTATGGGTCCTGTACTTTCAGTAGTACGAGCCTATACTACCTTCCACACCTACCCATATTTGTCTCAAGTATCATCACAATGACCTATCAATATACATAATCATAGCGAGTGCTCAATCCTCACTCTTAGAGGAATGCTAAATATCTCGTAACTGGCGGACTCATCCCAAACAACCCATCCATCCATGAAACTTCCACCAACCTTGCAGAACTTGTGTATGCTAACCATACATAACTCTGGACCCTATAGACTTTTGAATACCTGGTCCTACCCTAAGCCCTTAATCAGACAAGAACATGAAATAAAGCCAAACCAAATATTCTCAGGCTATAAGATCTTAATTATGTACGACTGCGATGCATACACTAAGCAACTACATTAATGATGTCAATTTCATATAAGGAAAACCCTAGGATATTAGGCATCATACAATCAGGCAATTCTATCATGCAATTCCTGAAGATGCCAAGCCTAGTACTAGCATGTTGTTCTAACATATCAAATAACCAAATAATCCGCAAAGAATTTTGGGATCTATCCGCGAGCTCCGACTGATCATAGACTTGCATATTCCTCTATTATTTTGAAAACATTTTAAGAAATCGTTTTAAAATCTTTTCCTCAGTTTAAGACTGGATACATACGAGTGTTTTCTCCAAGTCACTCAAACCAAAGCTCTGATACCAACTTGTAACATCCATAAAATTCGAGCCAATTTAAAACTTTTAAATCATTTAAACCCATTCAGTTATTACAATTTGTTTTCAAAATAGTGTAAACATCAGAGTTCCCAGAAATCATGATCATCAATTGAGGAAGTGTATGGTCACGCATTTGAATTCTCGCGGTCACCCGCTGAAACAATAAACTGAAACTGTAAGCTCGAAGGCTTAGTGAGTTACCCCCAAAATACCAAACTCATATAACCATAATCATATTATATCAACAATTACGGAATAACATGCATAATGAGCCATCATTCTGACTGGACCGAATCCTAGTCCTCGGTCTATCTAGACCGCTCTCCTAGCCCTCAACACGTCTGGACCACCCTCCTCGGGGCCTTCAGCCCATCCGGACCGCTCGTTGGGTCTTCAATCTAACTAGATTTGCTCGACCCGGGCCTGTAGTCTACCCGGTTCGCCTAGGGTGTCTTGGTCTACTACACACAGCAAGACCTACCTCAACCCTTTCCCCCCAAACCAACAAACATGTGCACATACATATAAACAATTAAACATGCATACCTAACAAATCCCTAATTATGGCAACCATCCTATAACCAAGATACTGATCTAACCGATCACTAACATAGTAACCATCCTATAACCAGGATACGAATCTAACCGATCTCTAACATATCAAACTATCAAGATGTAAATCAATAAAAATATCATGCAATAAACCCGGATGAAAATCCGATAAGGGCTGGCATTGGTGCCTTAGACCCTGCTGATATAGTGACGAGAACTCACCTCTCTACTGTCGACTTGAAAGATTAAGCTTAAACTCTAGGATCACCGCTACAAGCTTCACCACCTCTATTCACCATAGAACCATATTCATAAGTTTCCAATTTTCCCAAAATGCCCCCAGAAGTCAACTCGTCAACCCCTGGTCAAAGTCAAAGTCAATGGTCAAGGTCAACAGTCCATGTTGACCGGACTCGTCGAGTGCAGTCACCAACTCGTCGAGTCCTTCTAGAAATCGAGTAGTCGTGAAATCCTACCACTGACTCATCGAGTTTCCCTATAACTTACTGAGTGCATGCGTATCCAAAGTCAGGAAAACCTTAGCTGACTCGTCGAGTCCACGACAATCTTCATCGGACTCGCCGAGTTGACCATCCAACTCGCCGAGTCCCTTCGGTCCATATCCAAACATATGCTTATTAAGCCATCTTAAGGTTCCATATTGCAGATCTAGCTTCCCAAGGCATGTTTATCACGTAAAGTTGCAAACTTTACGTGTATGTAAGGCTCTAAAGTCTTATAATGACAAAACCAAGCTTGCGATGGAGTTTTACACTTAAGGAGGGGTTCATACTTGCCAAAGTTGAGAGCTTTATGGACTTAGAGACCAAAGAGAGTTCAGATCTGAAGTTACAACTTCAGATATGAGGTCACACCCAAGAATAGCTTCATAATTTGCTAGAAATGCCCTAATCTTTAACCAAATGGGATCTAGAATGAAATGAGGTCAAGGTAACAACTTGATACTTTCCAAAAGATACTAACTGGGGTAGATATCAGATCCCCACACATTCCTTGCTTCTAGCCATTTGCTCTCCAAGCTCTTCATACAAGGATCCACCTTCCAAAACTTAAAACACACTAGAACGAAGCACACACACGGATTAGGGTTTGTTGGACTCTCAAGGGGGTGCAAGGGGGCTGAAGGAGGTTTATGATCCCTTAAATAGTGTGTAAAACCCTGAAAATTAGGGTTTCATCCTCCAAATCCTACTCGTCGAATCCTATCTTGGACTCGAGGAGTAGGACACTTAAACACGTGGCCCAACCCGCTGCTACTCGACGAGTCAGACATCCAACTTGTCGAGTAGACCTTGAATTATGAAAATTAAAACCATAAATTAATACTTGAGAATCGGGGCGTTACATTAATCTTTTTTGTTTTCCACCTTGCAGGTTAGATCACAGTTACATGAAGCTTAGTATAAATTTTTACTTTATTTTAGGGATTTGAGTTTATTATTTTTTTTCCTGTTATTTACTTACGATGAAGGTCGATGAAGATACAAAACATGACTTTACTTTTGGCTTGGTATGACCATACAGTAGAATCCAAATTGAACAACCCTTTCAAAAAAAAACGTGTAGAAATATACAAAGATAAAGGAAACTAGCAAAACATTTGATGTTATTAGTTTTTTTAAACTTTGATATTTGCTTCTGTTGACTTTTGTTAACATAATTGATTTTTTATGTTCAAGTTTCATTTAATTGCGTTTTTTGTGTAAAGATTGCTATCATTTGTCTTTAAAATGGGTTATATGTCCACCGATACTTTTAAAGCATTTTTTATTCATTAACTCTCAAATCTCAACAATACGTAGGATGTTATAATTGGGTTTTCCAAAGTACAATGCCTTAATAAGAAAACGTTTGGAATTACAATGGCATGATTGAAAAGATTGTAAGCAGAATGCTTCACCTACTACTTGCAAAGATTTTTAATTTTTAATTTTTATTTTTAATTTTTGATGTATTAGTTTCAGCCATAACACCGGACACACATTAAATCTTATGGGTCTAGGCCCAAATTTTCTCTCAAACTAGTCAGACCTGTATTGTTTGGTATATGGATAGATTCGTTAATTAAGCTCATCTTTTCTATCTTAATAAATAAAAATCTTTTTACCACTTGTCATTTTCTTATAATATTTATTTTTCTTTCATATGCTCTCTAAAAATGACACAACATCTTTTTTTATTTGTCACCAATTGTGAGACTTGTGTAGTATATGGATTGATTAAAACAAAAGTTAAATATCATCGTGTAAGTATCAATGTGTTTTAAGTCAAGATTAATGAAATATAAATTTTAATATCCGAAAAAAAACTACAATCATATAGTAATACCATTGTTTTAATTAAAATATTTATTGTGAAATAACTTAGTTTTCTAATAGCTTTTATTATTTCATATGCTACTTGGATTGTTTATTGACTGAAGATCCTAGGAGACCGAGAATTTTTGATAAAGGAAATCAAAGTTCATTGCGATTTTAGCGAAAAACCACATTTCTGGGAATTGTTGTTTAGGGAAAAATTACATGATTACTATCATGTTTGAGGAGAAGTATTAAAAAGGTTACACAATATATTTTATAAAGTACATTGCTATTTTTGAGAGGGGACTACTATGAATATTATAGAGAGATCCGAGAGTTACTAAAGGGTTAAGTTACTTCATGGCAAAAAGGTGTAGGATGTAAATCAATGTAAAGTTAGAAATCAATTATAAAGATTATAAATCAACTTTTAATCTAATTTTTTGTTTTCCCACTTTGATCGTGAGAAAAAACAACACATTGATCAAGAGGTTTATAAGACTGGATAACCCGCAACATGGAAGAATCAGATCCGAAGCAAAAACTGATGGTTGCTGATATCATTGCTACTATTGGGAGATAAAATAAGGTAGAAAACATATACTAGCAACATTAAAGCTTAAGAAGAAAATATATTTTTCGATGCATAATGATGAGATAACTAGATTATTTTCCATGAATTTATCCTAATATACAATGCATTCCACAACTTCATTATCATTCTAATCTTTAATTTCCAAATTTATAATCAAATCAATAAATTTGTATCCCAATTGTATACATTTCTTTTATCACCAAAAATACTCCGACCATATGTGGCACTCATCAAGTCTAGGACAAGAGGGAACTGCAAGGTCACAAATGAAGTAATTGGTAGGCAGGTTAACACATCTATGGGAATAAGAATCCATGAATTTGTTTGGCCAAATACCAAGTACAACATTGCACCAAAAGCTACTATCATAGCTGTCGTTAAGATGAACAAGGTGGTTAAACCAATTATCAATTAACTTTGTAAGTAACTTGAAGAGAAAGTCTTGTTCAGCAAAACGTGCAGTGAGGATTGACAAAAACATTAACAATGATGTAACAGCTGAAAATAGTGATATAGCATCTGATATTGCAAATATTGTGAAGGCAGTGTTGTTTGTAAAAATTGGTATTCCTTTGTCCTGATTGCTATCTCCTGGCACTGTAATTGCTGCTGCAAACGCAATTGTGATGATTAATGCAGCTGTAATTGTGTAAGACTCTACAGTTGACTTCATCCATTTCTCTCCCTCAATCACCAAGTCTTTGTGTTCTCGAGTAAATACCATTTGTGGTGTTTTGCCGCTAGAGTTCTTTTGAATGATGCCTTAGGGGACACACAAATCCATCAACTTCCTAAAAGATTACAATATGAATAATGCTTAATAACCATTTTTCACATTAAAAGTCTACGTATGCAGTAAAATTTGAATTTAAACGATTAGAGGTTCCTACCTTAAACCAAAGCAGTTCATGTTGTATTTGTAAAGCTGCCCCTGATATAAGATTCAATTTGTTGGAAGGTGCCAATCTTGCAGCTAAATGCAAAAGGTTATCTCCCGAATAGTCTTTTATTGTTCTATATATATATATATATATATATATATATATATATATATATATATATATATATATATATATTCTTATGTTCGCTCATTTGATAAATTAAGTTGTAAACCTTTTCTGAGCGATTTATCACAACATATTGAATAATGCTGTGACCATCCTCATTCACACTCAAAATTGCATTGGGAAATAAATGCACAATACCACGTACAACCTCATATGAATTTTGTCTTGTCGCCTCAAAAATCGGATTTTTGTAATAGTGATGGTAAGAGCTGGAGTGTTTCTTTTCCTTTGCCAAATTATTTGCATCCTCTAATAGTGTCATAGCATCACCATGAATTACAACTCTCTTTTTAACGAATCGCCATACTGCAACAATGACGCGAATGAACATCTCAAACAAAGAAATATCCCTTTTTCTTTCTCTTATTCTTTTTGGTTATCAATGATAATAATTGTTTAGTCATTTTACCTATTATCTGTAGGATTTTCAGGAAAAACCTAAAAATCAAACAAAGTCCTGCATTATGTGATAGAACGTTTGTTAGAATTTATAGCCGTTGCGAAATGTGGAACTAATACATTAGTAGTGGAAAGAAGTATCAACTCATGACCTACCACAAAAGGGTAGGATAATTATTATTAACGCCCAGGAAGCCGATGGAGGAGATCTTCCAATAGAAACTAAACTGGTCACCATCCACCAATTTACTGTGTCAGCTACTATACCATCCCCTTTAAGATAAAAATTGGTGCAACAGAGACCTTATAGTTAATTGACAAGGTAAAGAAACTTGTAAAATCAAGATATGTAATTAAGAATCAACAAACCTATACATTCCAACATATTAAGTTCGCTTGGGAAATTTTGAGCTATAGCCATCAGCACAGCATCACTATGCAATACCCTGTAATGCTCCACCAGATCATTTGCCAATCCTACATGTATTCCAAAGATAGCCAGATGAATTAAGTGGTTGGTTTCATGATTAATACTGGAACTTGAATCCAATAGACACTTACGAAAATCTTTAGAAGAAATAACAGTAACTAAAAGCTCATCACCACTTGTGCCTGAAAAAAGAGCATCCTTCACCTCCTCAGTATTGATGTGTTTCAACAGATGACGAGCTGTCTCGGTATGCATGTTGGATAGAGCTATGGCGAGTGGTGTGTGACCCACGTTGTCTGTGGCCAACAACAAATCTGGGTTTCTTTCAACCAGGATCTTAGCGGCTTCAGTGTTGCCAATGATAGCAGCAACATGGAGTAGTGTGCTTCCATCTGAATTACGCACATTCATTAGTTGTGTGTTCTCCGGTGTGAGTCTCAACATTTTCTCCAGTAATTCGAGCTTCTTGGAAGTACTGATTGCTACATGGAGTGCTGTGTTGCCATTATTGGTGATTTTGTCTATAACTGTAATATGTCTTCCCACCAACATTTCTTCAACCGAACTCCATTCTCGATCTAAAATAACCTTATACAACTCTCGGTGAGCCTCTTCTCTATATCGATCTACTTGTGTATCTAAATTTGCATAAATTTGTTATGGAGGTGATAAACTACAAGATTGAAAATATGTCCTCTAATCTAATCTAAACATTACCGATGTCAAAGAAGGAAGGAAAATTGTTGGGTTAATCAGTTTGATTGTCACATAGTTTAATAAGTTAATAGTTTATTTAGGTTTATTTTAATTAAAGGTCAAATAAACAAAAGTTGGGATAATGGGATTTGACTGATTCATATTGATGTGCAACATTGGGTATTGAAGAAGTCATCTACTTACCTAGTCTTTAGGTAGAATTTGTTTTTTTATTAGTGTCTTTATGCTCCTTTTGTAAGACTATATATAGGGAATATTGTACCTAAAACGACTGCAGGCAATTCTGGTGGAACAACAGCAGGAGCATACATGGCCTGCAGTTCATCCCATACATCTTTTGCACTGAAATCAGTTGCAATTCTCTCTTGATCGAGCTTTTCTTTGAGCCGCTCTGCAACATACATGAGTGTTTGTTTGGAGAGAGAACCAATAATCCAACCCTTCACAAGGGCATCTGATCTTCTCCACAGCCTGTGATGAGTTTCATGGTCACCCACTCACTAGCCCGATAGAATGTTGTCATTGTCTAGAAGAAGTTAGCATGTTCTAGAATGATCTGGAAGATTCTAGAACATTATGGAATACTATGGAGAAGTCTAGAAGATGCCAGAAGATTCTAGAATTCTCTAGAACGAGATGGAAGATCCTAGGAGGCTATGGAACATTCTAGAACACTATGGAAGGCACAAGAAGGTCTATACTTATCTAGGACATTATAGAGCATTCTAGAAACATATAAAAGCTTATAATTGATATAGAATATGGTAGATAGTTCTAGAATAGTCATGAATGTATGTAGATCTAGAAACTTCCTATAAGGAGGTGGAAACACCTATAAATAGGTGTGGAGCTCATTTGCTCCAAATCAATCCAACATCTAAGTATCCAAGAAAGCCTCAAAGAAAGCAAAGTGTGTAGTAGTCTCACAAAGTGTAAGGTCTTCTTAAGTGTCTTAATAAAAGTCTTGTTGTTTCCCATACAAAGAGTCGTGTTCAACAATCTGGTATCAGAGCAAGGTTTCTTGATAGTGAGAACGAGTGATTCTCGTTGTATCGTGAGTAGTTTGTGACTCTGCAAGTTTAGTATCAAAACTAGCTTGTTTGGTATTACCGAGGTACTGCCAACACGATGGGTGATCTCCAAGTCATCGGAGGAATCAAGAAACTCAACAACAACAACTACAAAACGTGGGAAACATGTATGAAGTCCTACTTACAAGGACAAGATCTATGGGAGGTCGTTGGTGGAAGCGAAACTACGCCACCAGAGGAAGACGTTAATGGTGCTTTACGCAAATGGAAAATCAAAGCAGGCAAAGCAATGTTTGCCTTGAAGACCACAATTGAAGAAGAGATGTTGGAGCATATTCGGGATGAGAACACCCCGAAAGAAGCTTGGGACACGTTTGTGACACTTTTCTCAAAGAAGAATGATACGAGACTACAACTTTTGGAGAACGATCTATTATCAATCTCACAACGTGACATGACGATTGCTCAATATTTCCACAAGGTCAAGTCGATATGTCGGGAGATTACTGAACTAGATCCACAATCCGTCATTGCAGAAGCTCGAATGAAGAGAATCATTATCCATGGACTGAGGCCGGAATATAGAAGCTTTGTTACTGCTGTACAAGGATGGCCCGCTCAACCATCACTTGTAGAGTTTGAGAATTTGTTGGCCAGCCAAGAAGCTATGGCTAAGCAAATGGGAGGCATCACGCTGAAGAGTGAAGAAGAAGCACTCTACACAAGTAAAAGTCGAAGGAATTTCAAGCTACCTTCTAAAGAAGGATACAAAAATGCTGACAAAGGGAAGAGTCAGGAAGGAACCTCACAACCATGGAGATCTCAAAAGACCGACAATAAGAGTTCTCGGGGGAGGAGGTTCGAAGGCAACTGCAACAATTGTGAAAAGTGGGGCCACATGTCCAAGGATTGTTGGTCAAAGAAAAAGTTTGTGGAAAGCAATGTAGTAACTTCCAAAAAGGAAGTAGAGGATGAATGGGATGCTGAGGCACTATGTGCTATAGAAGAGAATAAGACTAAACGAGGAAGGCTAATGTTCGTGGATGCTAGGGTAAATGGAGGATTCACCAAGGCTTTGGTAGATACAGGTGCATCCCATAATTTCCTTGCTAAAGATGAAGCTAAGAAGTTGGGCATCAAATACACCAAAAATCCAGGTCGGTTGAAAGTCATCAACTCTTTATCCAAGCCTATCATTGGTGTTGCATATGGAGTACCTCTTAAGATAGCAGAATGGGAACGCACCATAGACTTGACAGTGGTGCATATGGATGACTATCGTATGGTATTGGGAATGGATTTCCTAGACAACGTACGACCCTGGTCATTTGAGAGAGATGATACCATGCGTATCACTAAGGGTTCAATAATTCACATTGTACCCTTGAAGAGAAATATGATTGGATCCCGAATGCTATCAACTATGAAACTCGACAAAGGTATCAAGAAGAGCGAGACAAAGTTTATGACAACCTTGAAGGAGGAAGACGTTCATTCGAAGATGGATACTCCAAAGGAGAATAATAACATGACATCACCAGAGTTGCATAAAAAGTCTCATCTTAGACGAAAAATGGAACATGTGATGGAGAAACTGGATAAGGCGAAAAAGAAGAAAAACACATTAATTCGTAAGAGCAAAGTAGAATTTCTCAACAGAGCAACATCTAAACGAGATGAGCAGATCAATAAGGGATCACGTCATAACATGTTAATATTGTGGGAATTTTCCAAGGCTTGTAAAAGGGACAACTCACATGCTTACAAGTTTCTCAAAGGGAGGCATAAGAAACTACACAAGATAGTTCAACAAAGTCAGGAACAATATTATGCTGCTAGAAAATGCAACCACGAATGTTGTTGTCAACTACGAAAACAATACACGAAGCAACGACTGCAACAAGTAAGAAAAAACCAAGCATGTGGAAGAGAAAAAGTTCTCAAGGAAGAAGTCAATATGCGACAGATCAAGACTGATAAACAAATAGCAGAATTATTCACCAAAGGGCTGAGTAAAGGAAAAAGTGAAGATTTAGATGTCAGCTCAACATGATACGAAGAATGGGGGCTAGTGCTGAGGGGGAGTGTTGAAGGTCATCACTAGCCCGATAGAATGTTGTCATTGTCTAGAAGAAGTTAGCATGTTCTAGAATGATCTGGAAGATTCTAGAACATTATGGAATACTATGGAGAAGTCTAGAAGATGCTAGAAGATTCTAGAATTCTCTAGAACGAGATGGAAGATCCTAGGAGGCTATGGAACATTCTAGAACACTATGGAAGGCACAAGAAGGTCTATACTTATCTAGGACATTATAGAGCATTCTAGAAACATATAAAAGCTTATAATTGATATAGAATATGGTAGATAGTTCTAGAATAGTCATGAATGTATGTAGATCTAGAAACTTCCTATAAGGAGGTGGAAACACCTATAAATAGGTGTGGAGCTCATTTGCTCCAAATCAATCCAACATCTAAGTATCCAAGAAAGCCTCAAAGAAAGCAAAGTGTGTAGTAGTCTCACAAAGTGTAAGGTCTTCTTAAGTGTCTTAATAAAAGTCTTGTTGTTTCCCATACAAAGAGTCGTGTTCAACACCCTTCACAAGGGCATCTGATCTTCTCCACAGCCTGTGATGAGTTTCATGGTCACCCACCTTCTCCTTCACAGAAACATTATTACTGGTTTGGGGGCTTATGAGTGTTCCATCAATGAAACCAAGCATACCATGACTCTCTAATAGACATAGTATCTGTGTTTTCCAAATACCATACTCATCCCTTCCACTCAACTTCAAGGTAACAAAACTGGGGGTATAAACGTGTGATGGGTATGGGTATTCTTCTCTAACTTCGAGTGTGACATGTGGATTACAGCTTGAGCTTTCCATCTTTGTATCTTTTTTTTCTTTTAATCCAGATTAGTTACGTACTCCTCTTACATGTCTTATATAGAAAAATGGATTTAATTTGTGGTGCCCACAAAATCCACTTTAAGATTGCCTCCCCCTGAAGTAATTCTCATATATTATAATAACGTTTTAAGCAAAGAATTTTAATTACAAAAGTTAACCAAACGATTCCACTATGAAATCTATATTTATCAAATATCCTAAAAGTACCATGAACCTCTGTTTTATTACAAAAGAAAAATAAAGAAATGAATTGAGAATAAAGCGTTATTATTATTTATTTATTTATTTTTTAAATTGGATCAAATACTGGTTATTTGTTTACAAATTAATGAAACATTTATTAATTAAAAGCTTATTGTTAATTAAAATTAGTATTATGGGTTGGAGATTTTATTTATTGATAATAAATGTTTTTATGAAAATTTCATAACTATCATAAATAAAAAGGGTGTTTATTAGTCATTTGAAAAAGAATAAGAAATACACTTGATCTACTCCCAAGGAGTAGCTATTCCTTTTGTATCCATCTTAGCAATGGACAAGAAGAAGTTGTGTGTTGTTTGATTTGTTGGAAGTCAACAGTGCATGTTTTTATATGTGGATCGACCATTGAGATTGTCTCCACTTGAAAATCAAGTCTCCATTTGTGAGGTAATATTGTAAACACCATATGGGTTTTTAAATTCCTCATCACTAATTAGACTGACAGCCTTCTTTTGAGATATCTTCTCAATGAAGGTTAAAGGCATAGCATCACAAAGGTTACATCTTTTTTTAATGATAAAGAAATGATAATTAATAATTAATCTTTTTTATTTTCCAGCTTGCAGGTTTGATCACAGTTACATGAAGCTAAGTATAAATTTTTACTTTATTTTAAGGGATTTGAATTTATTTCTTTTTTTTTCCCTGCTATTTACTTAAGATGAAGGTCGATGAAGATACAAAAAATGAATTTACTTTTGGCTTGGTGTGGAAAACCCTACAGTAGAATCCAAATTGAACAGCCCTTTCTAAAAAAAAGGTGTAGAAATATATAAAGATAAAGGAAACTAGCAAAACATTTGATGTTAGTTTTTTTAAACATTGATATTTGCTTCTGTTGAGTTTTGTTAACATAATTGACTTTTTATGTTCAGTTTTATTTAATTGTGTTTTTTGTGTAAAAATCGCTATCATTTGTCTTTGAAATGGGTTATATGTCTACTGACACTTTTAAAGCATTTTTTTATTTATTAACTCTCAAATCTCAACAATATGTAGAATGTTATAATTGGGTTTTCCAAAGTACAATGTCTTAATAAGAAAACGTTTGGAATTACAATGGCATGGTTGAAAAGATTGTAAGTAGAATGCTTCACCTGCTATTTCTTGCAAAAGTTTTTATTTGTGCTTTATTAATTTTCAGCCATAACACCGGATAGATTCCTTAATTAGGCTCAACTTTTCTATCTTAATAAAAAAAAAATCCTTTTGTCACTTGCTATTTTCTTATAATATTTATTTTTCTTTCGTATGCTCTCTAAAAATGATACAATATATTTTTCTATTTGTCACCAGTTGTTAGACATATGTAGTACATGGATTGAATAAAACAAAAGTTAAATACCAAGGTGTAAGTATCGATGTGTTTTAACCCAAGATTAATAATGAAATATAAATTTTAATATCCGAAAAAAAACTACAATCATATAATAATACCATGGTTTTAATTAAAATATTTATTGTGAAATAACTTAATTTTCTAATAACTTTTATTATTTCATATGCTAGTTTGATTGTTTATTGAGTGAAGATCCTAGGAGACTGAGATTTTTGATAAAGGAAATCAAAGTTCATTGCTACCTTAGCGAAAACCCACATTTCTAGGAATTGTTGCTTAGTGAAGAATTAAATGATTACTATCATGTTTGAGGAGAAGTATTAAAAAGGTTACACAATATATTTTATAAAGTACATTGCTATTTTTGAGAGGGGACTACTATGAAAATTGTAGAGAGAGCTGGGAGTTACTACAGGGTTAAGTTACTTCATGGCAAAGGTGTAGGTTGTAAATTAATGTAAAGTTAGAAATCAACTCTAAAGATTATAAATCAACTTTTAATCTAATTTTTATTTTCCCACTTAACAATCGGAATAGAGAGAAATGATGGAAAATGAGAAAAAAACAACATATTAATCGTGAGGGTTTATAAGACCGAACAACCCACAACATGGGAGAATCTGATCCGAAGCAAAAACTGATGGTTACCGATATCATTGCCACTATTGGGAGATAAAATAAGGTAGAAAACATATATCAGCAACATTAAAGCTTAAGAAGAAAATATACTTTTCGGTGCATAATGATGAGATAACTAGATTATTTTCCATGAATTTAGCCTAATATTACAATGCATTCCACAACTTACATTATCATTCTAATCTTTAATCTCCAAATTTATAATCAAATCAATAAATCTATATCCCAATTGTATTCATTTCTTTTATCACCAAAAATACTACGACCATATGTGGCACTCATTAAGTCTAGGATGAAAGGGAACCGCAAGGTCACAAACGGAGTAATTGGTAGGTAGGTCAACACAACTATGGGAATAAGAATAATACCGGGAACAAAGTTGCGCCAAAAGCTAATATCATAGTTGTCGTTGAAATGAATAAGGTGGTTAAACCAATTATCAACTTTGTACGTAACTTGAAGAGAAAGTCTTGTTCAGCAAAACATGCAGTGAGGATTGACAAAAACATTAAAAATGAGGTAACAACTGCAAATAATGATATGTCATATGATATTGCAAATATTGTGAAGGCAACACTGTTGGTAAAAATTGGTATTCGTTTACCTGATTGCTACCTCCTGACACTGATTGGTTGGGCTGATTTTGGACAACCCAAAATCTAATATCATTGCTGCCCAATTATCATCCAAAAGAATGTTTGAGCTCTTAACATCGCAATGTATCACTCCATGTTGAGCAGCAACAATAGTATGCAGGCAATCCATGTCCAGCACGGTGGCTATCTTAAGTGGTTGTACCCAAATCAAAGGAGTATCAATTTTATGTAGATGATGGTACAAGGTTCCATGGGGTATATAATCATAAACAAGGATCATCTCCTTGTTATCATCACAAAAACCAATCAGCAACATCAAATGAATGAATATTATGCTCAACTTAGAAAGCATATGAATTTCAGCCCTAAACTAGGTTGCCCCAGCTAGTTAGACATAGAATCCAGCCGTTTGATGGCCATAGCCACTACAAAAAAATGCCAGTTAGTGACGAAAACGATATGGTCACTAACAATATAAGGATTTGTCACTAAATGATTAAGCGACCAAAATTTTGGTCGTCACTTTTCGTTACTATAGGTTTGTCACAAAAACTGATTAGTTAATTTAGAAACCAAAAAAGAGGTTGTCCAATTATCTGGTATAACTATATGTGAAGACAGAAATATGCACATATAACACTAATGAAAGGTTTGTGTAAACCAGCGTTTTGCTTAGTCATGGCAACAAGATACTTACGAATTTTCTGGGTGAAGCCAGTCATCACAATAACAGGCTCTGAATAGTTCTGTTGCGAATTCCTTGTGCTGTGGAATATATTGCTCCAAGATTTTTAGCATATTTGATTCTGAAATGAAACCCGTTTTTTTCTTCCAGCCGGGTCATATGGTTCTCTCCTGTATCAGACGCGGTTTTTGCATAATATAACCCGGTTTTTTCCGAAACCGGGTCCTATTAAACGAGTCTTATTTGCCTATTTGTAGTAGTGATAGTGTTCCCATGTGACGTTTAGGCGTGTTTTAATAACAAACAACACATAATGACCACTAGTTTTGGTCACTAAGTTTCCAATACATTGACCATTATTTTTGGTCACCGGGTCTCTAATGCAATGACAATTAATTTTAGTTACTGCTTGTATGATATTAGAAAATATATTTTTAACTTTTATTATATGGTTTAGTGATCAATGAGGGACAACCATCATAGAATTGGTCATAAATTTTTTAACAATACCAAATTTTAGTGACAACTTAATATGTGGTGTGACTAAATGATGTTGTTAGCGACCAGGTCATCACTAAAAAAGGATTTTTCTTGTAGTGTAGCCACATCATATTCATGTGGCTAATTTAGGTCTATGATTTAGACACATAAATAATGGGGGTATGTAACCATATGTGTACCTATCGTCTTATACAAAATAGTTCTTAACTGCTATACAGCCTCTGTAAACTTCCGCATCACGCTTGTCACTCAAACATTTGTCATTTAGAAAGTTCTTCATATGTAGAATATTGTCTGAGTTCATCATATGTGAAACACTTGAGATGTGTAATGACCAATTACCCATGCTTACAAGGCATTTCACCAGAGATCTTTCATGTACTTGTGCCACTCTGGCCTTAAAAAAGGGACAGAAAAAAAGTCAAAAGCCTAGTAAATCCATCCCATGAACTTAACTTTTCATATTCCTCCATCATATTTTTCACATCATCATCATTCACTATTTAAACCTGAGCATCAAGATCTTCATCAGGTTGTTTATATTTTAAAAATGTCGACCCTTTTAACAATTCTTTCATCCTTGCCATAAGTTCTTTGAATGTAATGTCTCTTGGGACACTCAAAATCCATGTTTCACCACCAATGTACCTAAGTTTTCTCTCGGTATACAAAAAATCTGAAGTAAAAAAAAATATGATAAAGTAGAATCATTCAATTGAAATGAAATATCGGTAGAACTAAGGTTTGTAATTACCTCATGAGTTAAGCAAATTAGAACGTTTAGGAGGCTGACTAAGGCTGGACACCGTCACTACCTCCAATTAGCATTAGCCTTCAGCTTCCCTCCTTGATATCTCTCTGTTTCTCTCTCATCAGTCTCGACCTCCCTTTTCCTTGCGTTTGTGATTGGCGATTGAATACACAATACACAGACGATCACACGAATCCTCTATTTTCTAACTACCTCTCGTTCTTTCTAATCTACTACTACACACATGGTGTGTTTTTGCCTCTCCCCGACGTGAATATTGGCCCGACAAAATCCTGTCGTGTTCGGATTGGCCGGTTGCGGGTTGTCGGGTCAAAATACATCAACCTGAACATGATCCATTTAACTATACAGGTTGACGGGTCGCGGGTTAGCATGTTTGGAACATAAACCTATATATGACCGGTCAACCCACTTATTTATATGGGTTAGCAGGTTCGTGGGTTAGATTTGGGTTCGTGGGTTAGATTCCATAAATAAAATTGATAATTAAACATGAATAAACTATTGCTACAAAAATATCCAAATTTTAGACACTTAAGTCTTAAACATCCAATTGAAAATTAAAAATATTCATTAAAACATGTTCAAACTAAAACATTAATACAAAAGCCAGACGAAAAATGTGTTGCACAGGTTAAAGGGTCAATGACATCCTATCCTAGTGTATAAACTGTTATGTTTTAATAAAAAATATATAATTTTTTTTTATTAAAATTCTTAACGTGTTGGCGGGTCAACCCGTATATTTTTTAAGAAACTCATATATGATCTGTTTAATAAAAGAGTTTGCGGGTTGACGGGTTGAAAAAATCGACCCAAACCCGTTTATTTCGTGTCGTGTCGAGAATTGTCAGGCGTGAATATCTCCAGACAAGGGTTGCGTTCTTTTTACTTTTCTTTTATTTTTTAATTTAATATAACTAACCACAAATAACCCTTAAGCTTTGTAACTTTTTCCTCATTTGGTCCTATACCAAAAAATAAATTTCCTTTCATTTTCTTTTACATCTACTACCAAAATACAATAAATATATTTAAGATATTTAGATTGAGCTTATTGGTTGCAATGTTTTGAAAATCGGATCGAAAATCGAACTAGCTGTCTTATTGGGTCAATGGTTCATCTGGTTAACCGGTTGGATCGGTCTTAAAAACCGGAAAAACAGTATCTATATATATATATATATATATATATATATATATATATATATATATATATATATATATATATATGGTGAGTTTCAATAGAAAACCATAATTAACCAAGGAACCAATCTTTTCTTCAACATTTAGAACTAATTTTTTATTAAAAAGAAAAAAAAATACATAAATTTATAACTTTTTATCATTTTTCCAATGATATGAAATTCGATTTTTTTTCATCAAATTCACAATGTGAATCTAAATTCACACGGTGAATCCGAAAAATCTATTTAACATTCACAATGTTATGTTATGAATTTAGATATTTTAAGTTTTTTTTGATAAAGAATGATTGACTCAAAAATTGAAAAGAGAAAGAAAAGTTCTATAATAGTAGAAGTAATAAATAGTGAAGGAAGAATGAAAAGCATTCTAATCCCACATCGACCAAGTGAAGAAAATATGGGTCTGCACCTTTATTATTTAAACGGCTTCCACGCTATGACTGGAAATGGGCTCACTACAAAACAAATGTGGCTCATAGTGACTTAAATTTGCATTTCTACATGAGATGGCCAAAGATTTTTAGCAATTTAAAATTTTTAATCCGGTATTGACTGGTTGAAACACAACGGTTTTGACAGGTTTTTACTTAACTGGCGGTTTTTCCTGGTTCTCATAATAGGTGGTTTTTGAGATTAATTAAACTAGATTCCTCACCGGTTCCCGTTTGAACTTGCTGGTTCAATCCCGTTTTCAAAACAATGATTACTTGTGATCACCACTTTATGGTCCTTACTTTTCTTTCATTTTGTTAATTAGTGACCACCAATTTGTTGTCATAGTGTTCCCATGTGACGTTTAGGCGTGTTTTAATAACAAATAGTACATAGTGATCACTAGTTATGGTCACTAAGCTTCCAACACAGTGACCATTATTTTTGGTCACACAGACCTCTAATGCAGTGACAGTTAATTTTAGTCACTAATGCTTGTATGATATTATATATATATATATATATATATATATATATATATATATATATATATATATATATTATATGGTTTAATGATCGGTGCGTGACAACCATCATAGAATTGGTCACAAGATTTTTAGCATGACAAATTTAGTAACTACTTAATATGTGGTGAGTAAACGATGTTGTTAGTGACCAGGTTGTCACTAAAAATGATTTTTCTTGTAGTGTAGCCACATCACATTCATGTGGGTAATTTACGTCTATGATTTAGACAAAACAATGACAATCATATTCCAAAAATCAAACAAATACCATGGCATTTCTTCACATTTGGCCATACTTTTCGACCGGGGCTCGTAATTGTCAAGTTTTTTTCATCAAAAAACCGAGGCAAAGGCTTTCGAAAAATATAAAATTGTCACATGTATTGTAAATAACTTGTGGCTAAGACTAGGCGATATTTTCACTAGTGAACTTTAGCCACTCAAATAATCGAAAGTGTGGCATGGATGTTTCTGAAAAAGTGTGACCCTAGGTCATGCTTATACAACTGATACTTTACTTGGTTTGCATGTTTTTAGTAGTCATGTCTCTTAAATGCAATTGGCAAATCCTATTAGCTTCAGAACACATACATCCTCTATAAACTTCCGCATTGCATTTGTCATTTCGAAAGTTCTTCGAATGTAGAATATTGTCTGAGTTCATCATATGTGAAACACTTGAGATGTGTAATGATCGATTTCCCATGCTTACCATGCATTTCACCAGAGCTCATTCATGTACTTGTGCCATTCTGGCCTTAAAAAGGGAACGTAAAAAAAAAGTCAAAAGCAAACAGAGTCAACAAAAAAAATTACCCACAGGATTGGAAGTGAAAAAGAAAATTGATCCTATGTCTATACATGGGATATAAAAATTTCATTCTTATTTAACAATGCAACATCGCTTGACTTAGATACAGGAAAAAGACAAGAAATCCATAACATTATTATATAGAAACCTAAACATTGTTGAACATAACTAGAAAACACATATTTTTTAATTTAGAAAATAGAAACCAAAAAATGCCCAATCATAGGCGGATCCAAGGGGATCCCGGGGTAGCCTGAGATACCCCTCAAAAAAATTTCGGTAGTGTAATTTTTGTTTACGAATCTTTTAATTTTTTTGATATAATGTATATATACGCATCCCTTTAGTTATAACACAAAACAAATAGTAGTATTACCGGTTAAAGTGTTGGTTTATTGAAGTAAAGCTCTCAGGTTCAATTCATTCTACTTACATATCCTTGTCTATTTTTTTTTAATTTTCCTAGCTATTCTATCTGATATCGCCAAACATATGTAAACTCAAACATTTTTGTCTATTATATAAGCCTGCTATCCTCATACTTCATTTGATGTCTACTTTGAATCTCATATAGATTCAAGTAACAAAATATACTTCAACTTCATGTTTATATAAGAAGACTTGAGGTTAACTAAGGATTCAATTAAGGTTTGGATTTAAAACCGAAACGGAACCGGGGAAAGCCAAGTACCCCAAATTTTTTTTTTGGATTACCCTAAATATAAAATTGGGATACCCCTTTACTTTGGTCCTGACTCCGCCATGTGCCCAATTAGAGCTATGTCTGGTTCCCTATGAAGTATTAGTTTTAGCTGTGGTAAATAGTTGATTATTATCTGGTATAACTATATATGAAGACAGAAATATGCACATATAACACTAATGAAAGGTTTGTGTAAACCAGCGTTTTGCTTAGTCATGACAACAAGATACTTACGAATTTTCCGGCTAACGCCAGTTATCACAATAACGGGCTCTTAAAAGTTCTTTTGCGAACTCCTTGTTCTGTGGAATATATTGCTCCAAGATTTTTAGCATATTTGATCTGAATCCACCTCATTGCAGATGTCAAAACATGATCGGGCAATATGAACCAAAGACATTTTTCCATATTTCATAAACAAATCATCCATCTTTTGGAATTCTGTTCCATTAGAGATTCTTTTCCCTGTTATCACCTCTATGAATGCCATTGTAAAGCCCAAGAAATGGCTTTGTGGTTCACCGCGCTCTGAAAAAATATTCGTTGTTCAGATGTACGAAATTGCATAACCACAATCAGAACACAATATATGGACGGGCCGTTACGGAGCTAGAACGAAAATCAACGGGGTCCATCATACACAAAAAAAATTAAACAAAGACAAAAACATTCGAAATTTTCTGAAAATTTGAGATATTTTTGACTTTTAGCAAAAACTGGTAAAAAAGATGAGATTTTAAGCCAAAGAGGGAAGGTATGTATAGGAGATATGTTAAAGTAACTTACTAAACCCTGGATAATTTTTGCCACTATGAAATCCATAAGATGTTATTGTACAAGCATAGTCACCATACACTAGCTTAGTAACATCATAATTTGCAAGCTTTACGGTGAAATCCTGCAAATTTATAACGTTTGTCAAGATCGGTTCCGAGTAGGATTCCTTTTGGATTTTGAAGATCGTGATTGTAAGATCAGATCCAAATCCTAAGATCATATCAATAGTCAAATATATCCATGGAATCATAATCTATGTACATTAATTACTCATGTGGAGATGGTGACAGTAGGAAGAAATCAGAACACAGAAATACATAAAGGATACAGAACATGGAAATGTACAAAACAAGCTGAGTTTTATAAGAAATTAAACAAGATAACGAATTATCGAGTTTTATATCAAAATGAGGATCAAGAAATGAGCAAGGACATGTACAAAACAACTTGTGACTAAAGTTTGAATTTTTTGAGTTGTTTGGTGATTCTGTTCTTGAGAATGTTCTTATTGACTCTTCATTTGCTTTTTGAGGGTGTCACTAGAGTCTTTGGTGGCTTAAAATTGTGTATATTTTTTACCTTAACCCTTTAGTCCTTTACATTTCAAAAAAGTGAAATAAATAGAATAAGTAGAAGGTAAATATATCAGGTACAATGACTATTCAGATTTTGATAATATGGTACAATCGGATCAGATCCCAATCCCACGATCCTAATTAAATATGATCTTATGCCCAGCTCGATCCAAATACGATTAGGCTTGTCAAGCTCGATCCAAATAGGATCCGGCCTGTTTTGAAAAGGTAGGATCCATTAGGATGGGGACATTGACAACCTTGAAATTTATATCAAATGGAGAGAGATAAAACTAGGAAAACGAGTATTCAAGTTTAATTGAGAGAATTGCTTAGCACTGAAATATGTTATTCAATTCAAGAAAGGTAAGTAATCACTCAGAGAGCTTTTCCTAAGTTCCATGAATAGCACACCTATATATAAATGCGTTGCAAATCAAGACATTTAATCAAAACATCGATTGTTATCAACTATAAGACACAAATAAGACAACATATTCCCATATGTACTTTTTGTGTATGGGATTCATTATAAAGGAATACAGCAAAACATAATTGGTCATGGATATCCAATGCGAAAAATGAAAGAGCTCAACTATACCTCATCCAGCAATATCTTCTCTCTGTGAAGCCGAGACTCACCTAAAACACGTCCCCCTAGTAGATTTTGTGACTTGTGCAAAAAAACAATCCCCCGAGCAATTCCTACTGCTATTTTCACCTTTGCAACCAACGGAAGTGTAAATAGCGTTCCTACAACTGATGAAAAAAATTAATTAAATTTGCAGTATTTTTAGATTTGCGTTATGCATGGACTTATTTGTGTTACTTGCCGGTATATAGGAGATCCTCAAAGTTTCCCTTAGGCATGAATTCATACACAAGGAGGAGTATTTTGTCTTTGAAGCAATATCCTATGAGCTTTTGAAGGTTGGGATGACGAAATTCTTTCAACATTTCCAAATCCAACTCAGACTGCATTCAAAAGTGATCACATTTCACAATGATGCTGAGTTCAATGAAACATGTATATGAAATGATATAATATGATTCGTATTCAAAAGGAAGTAAATAGAAAGGGTAATCTTCAAGATTGCTAACCCATGCAAGATTTGGGTGGTAAATTCTCTGGTCTACTATCTTAACTGAAATTGGTAATCCGGTATTAGCTTTAGAAGGGGAATATGTTGTTTCATTGATCCAACCTTTGTAAACCTGCATGAGACACGTACCCTTCATGTTTGTGTCATTTCGAAAGTTCTTCGTAGCACGTCTTAAATCCAAATATCGGAACTGTTTTAGATCTGTGACCACTAATTCCTCATGTTGACAAGGTACTCCAACCTGATCGCTGCCATCCTTGTTAGTTGAAGAGCATTGATTCAAGTTCATTTCAAGGCTCTTTGATGAACTTGTGCCATTTCGGTCTTAGAAAACAGAAAAAAAAGGTCAAATGGTAACAGAGTTACAAATAGTTACCTACAAGGTCAGAAGTGAAAAATAAAACTTGCTTCCATATCTTTCAATGGGAGTCATTAATTGTGTTCTTATTTGACAAAGCAGCATCGTTCGACTAAGTTTAAAGGAACCTAAATGTTGATGAACAAATTAAAGTTATATTTGGGTATTCTAAGATGTCATATTTCAGCTATACAAGTGCAAAATAGTTATTATCAAAGATTACTACTACAAACACAAACGTGCACATATAATATCAATGAGAAGTTTGGGTATACCCGAGTTTTGTTTAGTTGTGGAAGCCAGAAACTTATGAATCTTCCAAGTGAATGTTGTTATGCCTGGTGCCTCAGCAGAATTGTCATGTCTCCGCTGTAGTTCTAGTAAATCCTGAAGTGTGACCACAACCTCGGCCATAGTAGGTCGTTCTTTTAGAACACTAAGCAAACAACGATATGCAATTTTTGCAAACCTTCGTAAACATTTGGAAAAAACTTTCCCCCGGATAGTAGAATCAACCATTTGATCAAATTTCCCTTCTTTCACAAACTTTTGAGCCCATCTTACCAAACTGATATGCTCCTCAGCATTGCCTTCACCTACAGGAAGCCTCCCTGATAGCAATTCAAACAATACAACCCCAAATGCATACACATCTGTTTTCCTTGTCAGCTTTCTTGTATAGAAATACTCTGGATCTAGATACCCGAATGTGCCTTTAACACTTGCATCAATATATGAGGATGATTGGTTGGTTGGGCTTATTTTAGACAGCCCAAAATCCGAAATCATAGCTTCCAAGTTGTTATCCAAAAGAATGTTTGAAGTCTTCACATCACGATGAATGACTCCGTGTTGGGTGCCAAAACCTGTGTGAAGATAGTCCAACCCCCGGGCAGCACCTATGGCTATCTGGAGTCTTTGCATCCAATTTAAAGGAGTCTCAGCTTTGTGTAGATGATGGTAGAGGGTTCCATTAGGCATATACGCATAAACTAAAATCATCTCATTGTTATCATCACAATAACCAATGAGAGACACCAAGTTACAGTGGCGTAGCTTTGAAAGCATCTCGATTTCAGCCCTGAACTCAGGTGCCCCCTGATTGGATTTAGAATCCAACCGTTTGATGGCCACAATATGACTAGTTTCTTGATAGAAATACAAGCTTTGTACACCTTCCCAAACCCTCCGTGTCCAATGACCAGTTCATCATCGAAGTCATTGGTTGCGGATTGAATCTCTGCAAGAGAAAATTGGCGACCTGATTGTACTGAAGTTAATAACAACAATCTATCAGCCATACCTTTGGCAAGTTACCTAGGTCTATAAGAAAGTTTTTGTGATAATATTATAATATAGGATCAGATATAAAGAACCAGACGTCAACATATAGAGGAAATTACTTAGCAACATTATGCAGGATCCATGAAGTCTTCAAGGAAGAGCATCGTGTGAATGAAGAGACAAAATAATAAAAGAAGAGGGATTGGATGATATAATTATTAGCAGAAAAAGACTGAATAGTGTGTGGTCCTGTTTTTTTCTATTCTGTCCTGATCGGACATTCCACTATCAACTAATTAAATTACGTTTTCCCCTAATTACTTCGTAAACTCCATCGGAATCAACCCTAGCAACAAGAAGGCCGTCTATATCAACTCACGAGATCCATTCCCCACCAATTATTGGTGAATCCAATCAACTTAATTGCCAACTTGAACTCTAATAATCTTAGACCATCTTTAACCACCTCCAGTTTTAACCTTAAAAATAAACTAAAAAATTAGTTATATACTGTTTCAACTCCTACTATATTTATATTTTATCTGAAAAGATATATTAATAGTGTATTTCGTTCTTATATGTTTTAACTTAGATAGACTGTCAAATAAAAACATTTCTACTTTCAATAAACAAATAATCTATTTTTCTTATTACAATAATATTATAAATTATGTTATCAGAAATTTATAATAAAATAAATTGTTTGTATATAATAAAATTGAATTATCTATGAATCTATTGAAAATATTATTAAATAAATAAGATTATATTAATAACGCATTTTTAAATAAATATTATAAGTGCATTTATAAAAATATTCCACATGTATTTGAGAAAATCAATACATATTTATGCATTGGAATAAATTTCTTGTAAATGACAAACTAACATACTTCGTTGGTCGAAATAAATTCATTATCTTTAATATGTATATATAGTATGATAAATTGTAACATCCCGATGATGAGGTATTTTCAAATTTAACCCTATGTATGAAGGAATATTGCATTTTGACCCTTGTACCTGAGAAAGATTGCAAGAACGACCCATAGTACACTACTAGAAAAAACCCTTTAATGACATGCAAATAATGATACGCACTGATTTACGATACGCATTTCTTGTGTGTCCTAAACGTAATGTCATTTTTCCAAAATATGAAGTATAGAGGACACGCATTTGTTTGTACCCTAAGATTGGCGCCCAACAAAAAAATATTTAAAACACGGAGGGCAGCTATCTTAAATCGATGTCGTGTAGATCGATGCCGCCTTATAATTTTTTCGAACACGGATCGAGCATGTACTAAATTCCCCAAAATCACAGTGACCATTCCATCTAGGGGTTTTTTTTCAAGAACTAACGCTCTTGGTGCTCTCTGCATCTACAACAATCGACAATCTCACCCGACCACCTCGACTCACCTTGCCGGCAACCTTACCATGTCGGTAACCTCACATCTAGTGATCTCTTGCTCGCTTCTCCTTTTCGGCGACCTAAGCCTTGTTACATGGATGCGTCCTCCCATACTTTGGAAGAACTAGGGCTTTTCTCCTTTTCGGCGACCTAAGCCTTGTTACATAGATGCGTCTACTTCTCAGCTTCTAGGGCTCGAATCCATATTTCCCTATGTCAACACTCCATCATCTGTTTACTTAGCTTACTAAAATTATCAATCTCATAGATTTTAGTTATAAACACCCTTCAATATGACGTCTTCAATCGATTTGGTAAAGGGTTGGCTTTCAAATCGATTGAATGAGTTCAATCATTGATGGAGATTATTCATGTTGTTCACTGGTAAGCAATCCCTTTATCTGATCTAGTTGTTTTAAGATTCATATTTTTTTTCGAATTGTGATCATATTTTCTACTTGGGTTCTGATGGGTCTTGGATGTTATCGATAAAGATCACATTATTTACCTGATATTATTTGCTTTTGAATTATATTATTGATTCCTAAGAGATTCGATCCATTAGGTTTTTGGTGTTTTAAAATTTTGTACGACTTCAAGTGAATCTCAAAATTTTTCGTATGGATGTGAATTCCTTTTGTCCCTTTTTATGAATTTGAAGCTGTGAGATGTACTCTTGAACTTTTAAGGGTTTGGCATATTAATTTTTGTGGGTTTGTGGAGATCATCGCAACAAAGCATGTGATGAAAGGGAAACAAGTGATATGATGATTGGTCCTAATTATGCAATTAATATCGAGCCATGTGATCTTATCAATATGGATCCTGGGTATAATTTGTCATCAACAACTAATTTATTTACAAAATTTTAATTTATTAGCATATATGATTGTTTTATCTCTCAATTTAATACATTTAATTAAGGTACGGTATCCATTACAACAACAAATTTCACATTTAAGCCATGAACATGTATAAATACCTTGTTAAGTATTTCAAATTTCATAATCAATTTCTATTCTATTTCTACACTTCTACTCTTCATCTGTTTTTTTTTTTTCAAAATCTATTTTGTCCCTATTTTTAAAATATAAACTTAATGTATTTGTATGTTATAAATTGGGTTTCAAATTTGAATATGTACAACTAATATTTCTGGAATCTAGATATGTAAATGTGTTTTTGAATTGGGTGAAACGAAAATGAACTGCACTATATGGTACATCATACTGGTTGGTACCGACATGAACCTACTCCTCCCTACCGAAATAAAAATGATTATCGCTTCAGAATTTTTGAAGTACTCTCGAGATTTGTCTAGTTTTTTTATATAGAGGTTTGTGAAAGTTTATCTATCTAATAATAGGAAAGAAAAAAAAAAACAGATAATGTCTGGATCTCTTGTTAAGGTCACCTTCGATTAATTTGCTTTGCTCTTATTTCCCCTGATTTGGAGCAAAATACTAAAGCAATCTTGTGTTTGATGGTGCAGGGGAAAGTAACAGGCCCAAGATATCTGGAAATAGAAGAAACGATAGGCTCTCATACTTTGTTGTTTCCCAAACTGATAAATATTTTGCTCCCATTAAATATAAGTATTTTGAATAGACACAATTTTTCACTCTCCATTTTACTTCTATGTTCTAGATGTTTTTCTTTATCTGCTTCTACAAACCCACCTATAAGTGATTATTAGTCGATTATTAAACAAGAATACAATCACCATGTGTATGTTAATCTCCAATAAAGGTGTGTTCCTACTTATTATTATTTATTTTTTTTAAGAAAATGAAGGATGGAATCTTTGTCACAAAGAACCTTCAAGGATTTGTTGTAAGGTTAATGTAAGGGTAAATATGTAAAATTGTTTGCATCTCTAATAAGCACTTTGATAAGTTCAACGGAAACAAACTTAATCAAAGGTGAAAAACATAAATAATCATTTCATATTTTCATTACCTGATTTACTACTTCTGGAAAATAATTCAAGTTCGTGTTCACAGGTATGTCCACTCACAACTTTCACAGGATAAAGCAATGTGATTTGTGACACCATGAATTGTTGCCTCACTCTTAGCAAGTTCTGCAAATTTTGTAGACAAACATACCCTTTTTCTCCATTCAGTGAATTATTTGCTTCCTGGTTGACCAAAAAAGAGAGAAATCCTTTTTGATTTTGAGGAAAACGGTGAAAATAATAAAAAGGAAAAAGATGAATTACTACCTGCAAGCTTCTATTGGCTACAAAAAGAGAAGTTCCAGCAGCCATGAGAAGAGATCTAATCTGAGAGTTAAGTTGCTCCTCCTGCTTTTTAGATTTTTCTTGTACAACTTTTAACACATTGACATGTTTCCCATAACCAACTTCCGTGATTCCAAATATTCACCCATCTGATCTAGCTTGTTGGATCGACATAATGACTCTGCTTACGAAATTGATACAACAAGCCAAGTTTGCGAAGAAACTGAATAACGAAGTATGTTTACACCAAGTTTGTTATTATTATAATTATTTATTTATTTTAATGAGTTTGTGATGTGACTTAAAAATGTGATTTTTTTACAAGGATTTAGCTAAGAAGGTTCACCACTTCACATTGCTTGATGGGGAGATGATGTCAGACACTCGCAAACAAGAAAGACGTTATTTGTACTATGATTTGATGGCAATTAATCAAATTTCTGTGATTGCGGTAAAGTTTTATAATATGTGAAACCTTAATTTTGTGGTTTTAAGTTTTAATCTTGTGGTGTTTTATATTTTGGATTTGATGCGCAAACCTTTTTATGAAAGATGGAAAATGTTGGAGACGGAAGTAGTTGAACCTCGAAACCATGAATGTCATAAAATATTTAAACATGGGCATTCATTATATAGATATGACTTGGAGCCATTTACGGTATTTATTACCATTTAATTAAAAAAAAATAAGAAAATCAGTTGAATTTGTTACTTATGTTTGGCAAGTTTTGATTTTGGTAGGTGAGAAGGAAGGACTTTTGGATGCTTTCTACTGTCACTAATTGATTTGGGTAGGTTTAAGTTCTCTCTATCAATAAAGTAACATGGTAGTACATGAATGAGTTCTTGAACTCCTAATACTAATTACTAGAAATGAGCTTTAATTGATTTTTTGATTTAATATCTAGAAATTATATGATGACATTAATGAAATTCATTCTTTAGTAGATTGCCATGATGATACCGCACTTGAAGATTTTTTTGTTGTTATTTGGAACTCTATTAAAATATACTAGTGAGGTGACTCATGATGGTTATTTAATGGTTTACCTAGTTTTATTACTTGATACATTTTCAATGAAAATAATGATGATTTTGGGACCCATATTCCTATTCAATATTTTGAATGTTATTTCAGTATTTGTAGAGATTGTTACATTAGTGTTGTGAAAATGAGTGATGGGATTTGTCCGGGTTGTAAAGAACCGTATAAGTAAACAGATCTTGATCAACATAATGTTGACCCTCGACAGCCTTTATCTCTTCCATCAAACATTCTAACTTATTTAAGCTTTAACTCAATTCTTTTTAATGACAAGGTTTTTTTAGAATGCAATGGCCACAAGTATCATAATCTGGGCATGAATGTGTGGGATGAGTTAGGTAAAATCTTGTAGAAAAAGAGTTGACACTGGTTGACGCATCTTCAAGTGGTGAGGTTGAAAGGTTTAAAGCTCCATGGAGATTGTCAAAGGAGAAATTACTCACGAGTTCCTTTTAAATATACATGTTTTGTTTTTCGATACAAATAATATGTAATAT